TTCAAGTGTAGAAATCAATGACTATATAATGATAATCCAACAAAACTCTCAATGGTAGAACTATTGAAACTTTAAGATTTGGATCAGAACTAGTAAAGGATTTTCACCTGTTGAATGAGATGACTAAATAAGATGGATCGAAAGTCATTGCAACATATATGATGTTAATAGAAGTTATGTTATTTCGATTTAGTGGTAAGCAACTTCTAATAACATTGTCACTTTTCACACATCGAGAAAAAAGGGGAAGGTTGGCCACATTCTAGCGATTTTCTTAGTTAGATGCTAAAAGTTTAAAGGGGATGAAATTAGTAACCTTATTTTACTATACTCTCTTTGAATCATTTATATTTGGAAGTAAAAAAGAAAAGGTTAAAAAAATCCATTTTAATAGAAGAATTACCTTAGCTCATTTTCTATTATTAGATGTTCGAGGAAAGTAATAAAACCTTTCTTAGACTTCAATAGGGGCAATGCAATTAAAATGAGATTACACATATCAAACATAATAAGATTAATGCAATTTTGGTATTATATAAGTAAATTATAAAGCAAATGATATTACTATTAAGTATAGAATTAAAATAAATGTTCTTTTCTTTCTATATTTTGTTTAAAAATGTTGAAAACCAATCTATGAATAAAATATTTGAGAGAAAATCAATTTTCATTTTGGAAGACAAACATATTTTTTTCAATGATCATTATAAACATAAAGTAAATTAAATTCATTCAATCCAAAAACATTCAATCATTAGAAAATAGTAATAGCCAATAAAATCATCTAATTATCTTGTTCATACATTAAATGGAAAGGTTTAGAAACCTCTTACATAATTTAAAATAAATTCATATAAGAAAATCAAAGCACATGGAGAGAGTTTAATTCCAATATGGCAAAAACAAACTTGGAACGTATTGATGGAAGGACGATAAATGATCTTCATCCAAATGGTTTACTCTATTATCTCTCTTGTTGTAGATAATGAAAAAGAAAAATTCGCAGTTTTTTAGCAATAGGACATCTTCATCTTCAGACATGCACAAAGGCATGCACAAAGCTTTTAAATGAATAGGTTCATGAATTTGAAGATGCTCATAACTTATATTCAACAATTGAGTCCAAGATTTATCAACTCCATATTCCTTCATTAGCCAAACAACCAAATGGGTTTTCATGTGATCATAATAAAGACACAAATAATCCTTTAGAACTTTAAGATTAGGCTCAGAATCAACATGACTGGGCATCAACATATATATGCATGTCTCATTCTTCATATCAAAAGATAAAATTTCCATTTGACCGGTGGTACTAGTTTCGCCTTGATGATGGGAACATAACTTAGGACGATCTACCAACCAATTAATAGTGTCATTCACAAACTCTCCAATCATTTCATGTCCCGTAATGGGATAATTAGACAAAGTTAAAATCTTTTTCCAACATTTGTCACCTGAGTAGTAAGATATCACCTCCATCTGTTGTGCTTCAGTATTCAAAAGGACTACCACCACCTTGAAAATGTCACTTTGATCATTGTACCCAAACCCAAACCTTTTATTATACTTATCAAATTTATCATTTTTATCACAAATACGAAAACGTGGTGATTCTTTAGACATGAGCCTAGTGGCCGGGTTCCAAAGTTGAACCCAAAATTCAAGATATTCTTTATAAAGAAAATCAAAAGAGAGCATACAAACCAACCCTTTGCAGACCATTGAGACATTATAATTTTTTTCTACTGTTTCGCGTCCAGGTTTGATAACAGAGGATGGTTCCTCCAACAAGTGATGTAAAGAACATGATGAGAAACCATACTTTGATTCTATTAAGACATGAGTGTTTCTAGAAGATCTTTGATAATGCAATTTAACAAATGTAGGAGTAAACATGGAGGAATTCCAAGGCTTAGAGACACACCTAAATCGCATTAGAGCTTTTACTGGAATGAATGATAGAATTTCCATTATAAGTTCCTCAGGAAGTACAAGAGCCGCAGACATTTTGATTTTAGTGAACGCACAAATTTGAATCTTGAGGGAGACTTAAAAGGGTTGGACTGAGTGCTCTATGTTTCACATTCCCTCCCTTGGAAACCAATGCTTAAATAATGTTACCATTGTTATTTAAAGTAAAAATTCATTGAAAGACACGTTCTTTAGGTGAGGAAAAATAGGTAAACCAATATAATTAAAAGATTGTAAGAAAATAGAAAAACAATGACTACAAAAAGTAATTTCAACTGTGAGAAAGATTAATATGTAATATTAAATTAAAGTAGTTAATATTGAAATTATTTGGATGATTAATTTTTTTATTGATTATTTACAAAAATTATTAATAGACTAATTTGTAAAAATCATTTAATATTTACATTTTTTGGTATCCGGTCAAATAAAAAAATTAAATGCAGTACTACGAAGTTGTCCTAGGTCCTCTCCCAAGGACCATTTTTTCTCTGTCAAAGGCTTAAACACACGAAGGGGGAGGTTTGGTTCAGGTTCTGATTTTTTTAGTTTATAACACAATAAAACATAGATAACACAGCAAATAAAAAAGATTGGCTCCTTGTTCGGATTGTAACTCTCTTATCCTTGGTTCACAATGCGATTACTCTATTAACCACTTAATCCTTATTCCATTCGAGTTAACCAACTAAGCGAAGATTAACTCAAGATTTCCCTCCACGAATTAAGCAAACATATACAACATCAAACTCTTCACAGATTAAGCAACGGTGGCATTGAGCACAGCCCATTAAGCATGGACACATTGATACAGAGGTTAAATGAAGAAGAACAAAGCAGAAGAGAGATATACAAACATACCCAACCGCAAACAGAGATTACAATCCATAACAAGAAGCCAACCCAAGGGATTTTAGCTTTCCATTCAACAGAAATGAAAATGAAAACGAAAATGCAAGGAAGAAGGAAAACGAAAATGAAATTAACAATCAGTATTCTTTCAACAAAATGAAGTCTCAAAATACAACAGAAAACTAACGTGACTGGGAGCAAACAAAACGTTAAGAAAAATGGAGAGTAGAAAAAAAAAGAAGAAGCAAAACGTAAAGAACAAAAAAGGAGACTCCCCACACAAACGTGGTCACATCAGAATATTCATGTTAGTGGCTGCCAAGTCAGCCCTAACCTAAATGACCTAAAACGAAATTGGGCCCCCATCTTGATGTGTCTGGCCCGAAAATGAATAATACAATGTTAACAAAAATGTAAGTATGTTGTTGATGTGGCACTGACATGGCAGATGACGTGGCAGCTCCTCTTTAAGTCCAAAAATTAATTCCAAGCCTAGATAATTATTAAACTGCCTTGAAAATAAAAATTGGAATAATTAGATTCAGAAAATTCAAATTAGTTAAAATATGAATTACCGGTCCAATTAAAGCCTAAATAGAAAACAGTGCAGAATATAAACAATTAAGCACAAATCAGAGAATAAAATAAGTACAGAAAGGTAAGAAAATTAGGGAAAATAATGATTCATCAAATTCCCCCACTTAGCCTTTTGCACTCCTGGGCAAAATCAAAAAGTAGAGCAAGGAACAATTCCAAAGACATAAAATAGAGTGACACAATAGAAACAAGAATACACACAAGAAAACAAACTGATTTACACAATCCTCAGTGAGTCTTGGGAAAAGAAAAGGAGTAGACAACATCCAACACACAAAGATTCAGAGAAACCAGATACTTATGGAAATCATCCAAGCATTTCAGAACATGGCAAGATAATTAATCATCTCAAGAGGTGAATCAAAAGCAACAGAACCTCACAAGATGCACTGTATCACTATTTCTCTGAAGTGTCTAGGCAACTGTATACTCTCAAAGTACTCATGAAAAACAAGCAATCAGATAGACTTGGAAAGCCTCGAAAATCAACACCCAACACTCAAGTACATAAGGATCAAAAGGTCTTTTTAGGTTTGTAATAAGGCCAAGGACAGGGTAGAGGATAATATATGGGATAAGTAACTACAAACCAGAGGAACAAGAGGAGAAATGGGGAATAAGTCAAGAATACGCACAAGGAACAAACCCAGAAACCTCTAATGACCTCTATGATAATCAATCCTCTTTCTCTTGCCTCAAACAACTTCTCTTTATCATTTTTTTTAATTTTCTTTAATTTTTTTTTGAATGAACAATACATAGTGAACAGTACACACGAAAATTTGAAATGAGATAAGATAACATGCAGAGAAGTAAAAGGTACAGCATAAGGAATCACCTAGCCAATATACATCATCCAATGAAACATACACAGCCCACCACACTTACTCAAGAACTTATTCCCAAAACAATTCCAAAGCTCCAAAACTCTCTAAGGTTAAGGTAATCATGGTTTTTCGCTTAAGGCTTGTAATGAGCTTCAAAAAAAGAAGGGGAAATAGGCTCAACAGGGGTTATTAGAGGAGTTAATTAAGGGTAGGCTTATCTGGCTAGAGGCTTATGAGAATAAAAATGCCTTAATCCTTTCCAAACATGCATGTGAATCAAGAAGTATCAAATAGAGTCAAGATAAGGCAACTGTGCAAGCAATCAAGAGGCATAACACACAAGAAAGAATAGAGAGTGGCTCAAATCCTCACATAGCGTATATCTGTCACAATTAAAACAACCTCTCAAGCCTCAAAATCATTTTTCCAAGCAGAGAAAAGCAGGGATTTCAAACCATACAGTATCAAGAAACTCCTATCCAAGAATGAAGTAAGTGCCTACAAACTATCAAAACCCAGAATTCAAAGAGAAACATGCAAAACTATACATAACAACTAAACATAAAACCTAAACCCAAAAATAAAAAATAAACCATAAAATCATATAACCAAAACAGTCCCCCCACACTTTTAAACTACACATTGTCCCAATGTGGCACAAACAGAAGATCAGAGCAATCAGAATAATCAACAGAATTGGACATGTGTAATAAAAGCAATGAAGGAGAAGGGGAAAGAAAACTCCCTAAGTCAAGGCAGTGAGAGAGAAGTAGGGTCGAGCAGAGACATCTCCTCTACAACAACATCCAAAAAAGATGGATTGCTGAGGAATGGCTTTAGCCGGTGCCCATTGAATTTAAAGCTCTTATCTGTAGATTGACTTTTGATCTCAACTATACCATAAGGATAAACATTAGTAACAACAAAAGGTCCAATCCACTTTGATCGTAACATACCACCCATGATTCCAAGCCGAGAATTGTCCAACAAAACTTTCTGGCCAACCACGAAGTCCTTCCTAGCTATCAAACTGTCATGGAACTTCTTGGTTTTCTCCTTGTAGAATTTTGAATTCTCGTAGGCTTCCAAGAGGATCTCGTCAAGCTCATTTAGTTGCAACCTACTTTCCTGACCAGCTTGATCAATGGAGAAGTTGCAGGTCTTCACAGCCCAGTCGGCCCGATGCTCAATCTCAATAAGTAAATGACATGCCTTGCCAAAGACAACCCGATAAGGAGACATCCCTTGGGTGCTTTGTAGGCAGTCCTATGCGCCCAAAGAGCATCATCTAACCTGTTACTCCAATCTTTTTTGTTGGGCTGGACAATCTTCTCTAAGATTCTCTTGATCTCCCTGTTTGAAATTTCAGCTTGCCCATTGGTTTGGGGGTGGTAGGGTGTAGAAATTCTGTGCACTACCCCATACTTCTTGAGCAAAGCCTGCATAGATCTGTTACAAAAATGGGTGCCTTGATCACTAAGAATAGCTCTGGGTACTCCAAACCTGCAGAATAGGTGAGATCTAACAAAATCCCCAACAACCCGAGCATCATTAGTTCTGGTGGGTTTGGCTTCCACCCATTTTGAAACATAATCAACAGCTAAAAGAATGTAGGAAAAACCAAAAGAAACAGGAAAGAGACCCATGAAATCAATACCCCAAACATCAAACACCTCACAGAATAGCATGGGCTGCTGAGGCATCTACTGTCTCCATGTAAGGGATCCTCTTGCTCGCTGACACTACTCATAAGTGCTACAAATATTCCACGGCATCTCTGAAGATGGTGGGCCAGTAGAAACCACAATTGAGCACCTTGCGAGTTGTCCTCTAAATGCCTAGATGGGAACTTGGTGCGAAAGAATGACAAAATTGCAGGACCGAATCGATCTCATGATCTGGTATGCATCTCCTAATCACCTGGTCATTGCACAACTTACACAAATAGGGGTCATCCCAAATATAATGCTTAGCATCACTCTTAATTTTATCAATTTGAGCTCGTGATGCTAAGTGAGGAAAAACAGAAGCAACTAGAAAATTAACAATTTTTACAAACCAAGGGGTGGTAGAAGAAATAGAAACAGAAGACACGTGCCCTGCACTGAGTTGATTCCCATCGTTCTCCAAAGAAAGCCCTAACTCCTTAATAGTAAGCACCCAGACTCTCCTCAGACCGTGAAAAACATCATTATCAAAAACCATAACTCCTGCGGGTATGTTGTTCTTTTCCGCTTTCAAACTTTTGATTCTACGAGAGCTTCCGGTATTAGTGAAAGTTGAAGAGTTCGCACGAAAACCCTTAATAGTAAGCTACTGTCTATTGCTTTTGAACAGACCCTTGTTGAGGTAATCTCATGTTAGGCTTCTTGGGGTATTGGAATAATGCAATAAAAAAATCAAATGTGTTGGAATTCTTTGCACCTTTAGTTGTTTCTGATGCCAGAAAACACCATCTTTGTTCATGTAGTCTCCAAAAAGTAAACACTTTATAGTGGTGATAGTTCTTTTTAGTGAAGCCCGGGTAATTGTGTTTTTCAAGTATGATTTAGTGAGTTAAGTCATGCGTATTTCAAATAACCTACTGCGACTATTAACACTCACACATAATGTTATTGAATAAATTTAGCATTAACCTTCTAGGAGTGTATCTCGCAAGAATTTTGTTATTGTGAGAAATAAAAATTATAATTCAAGTCTTATAATACATAGATAATTAAGATTAAAATTTAACTAATGGTCATGTAATTAAATTTGTATATATCTTTTTACTTTTGACTATTATTTTTTGTCTTGCCATTGGTGATGGGTATTTTTAGTGGTTTTTGTCTTTCCATTCGAAACTAATTCCTCTCGCAGTTATGTAATTGTTATTCGTTCAGAATTTTTTTTAACACATAAAATTGAACATGGAATTATTTATATATATTATAGTTTGACATAGATTTATAAGTTTTACTTCTCATACTGGCCATTTTTTTTTCTTAATGTTTCCAATCATCTGTATATGACTGTGCAAGTAAGATCTGATTAAATAATTTGTTTAATATAAAAGACAGAAGGCATGTTCATTACAGGTAATAAGAAATAATCCAAAAATAAGCATGATTTTTTTTTTAAAAATGCAATCTACATCGGTTCTCAAGAAAACCGATGTAGATTTAAGAATAAATCTACATCGGTTCTCTGGAGGACCAATGTAGATTTATTCTTAAATCTACATCGGTTGTCCAGAGAACCGATGTAGATATATGCTTAAATCTACATCGGTTTCAGAACCAATGTAAAAATGTATACATTTTATACGTCGTTCTATTCTACATCGGTTTTAGAACCGATGTAGATAACTTTAGAGAACCGATGTAGAATAAGAAAGCCTAAAATGCCAAGATGATTCACAATGAACATATGGTATGAATCAACACATGAGAAGAGATTTATGGATCATCAAAATATGGCAATGATGATGATTCATTTAGGCACACTTAGAAGACATGTAAGGAAGACATGACATGACCGAATATTTTTAGAGATAAAACACCATCTTTGTTCATGTAGTCTCCAAAAAGTAAACACTTTATAGTGGTGATAGTTCTTTTTAGTGAAGCCCGGGTAATTGTGTTTTTTAAGTATGATTTACTCGGATTGATACCAGGAATGTCCACTAGGGTCCAACCGATGGCTTTCTTATACTTTTTCAGAACTCGCAACAATTTCTCCTCTTGAACAACATCAAGGGAGGTGGAAATGATCACTGACAACTTCTTATGATCCCCCAAGTAAGCATACTTGAGGTTTTCTGGTAGAGGCTTTAATTCTAGAATGGGTGCTGGCTGAACAGTAGAAGGAACTAAGGGTTCCACAGCATGTACCTCAACTTGCAAGTCAGATTCATGTGTGTAGACACCCAATTTTGTTCGGGGACACACAAACAAAGAAATGGACCTCTGTTATGGAGGGAAAGAACTTCCGAAGCAGGCAAATAACAAGAC